AATTTTAGTGGTGCCTCAGAGTCACCAATCGACTGCAAAGGATTAATCCATCGTCTGTTACATCGACAATTTTTCAAAATCGATCTTTTACATGTTAAATCGGACTTTTTTTATATCACCGAAACGGCTGAGCTTCACGAACTGTTGCGAAGGAGTTAGAGAAACAATTTGCAAGTTCCATACTATATTCAGAGACAGATTTAGGTTATAGGCTAAATAGGCTATAGCCTGGGGCGGCAGTTTTTAGGGGGCGGTGGATTTTGAGAAAAATTCCGCGTTAGGTTTTCCTATACACAGTAAAAAATCATACGACCTTAAGTAGTATTATAAATGATTATTACGAATTAAACAGAAAATATTAACTTTTCTTTTATATTATATTACATTTCATCTCGACTAATCATTTGGTGAAGATCGGCACCTTCTTAGGACACAAAAAAATTTAAATAACAAATAGTATACGTTTTCATAAAAGTGCTAAATCTAGTACTTTAAATGCTTACAATCACCTTTCTCCTTTTCGTTGCGGGGTGGAAAAAATCTGTTAGCCTAGGGTAGCAAAAATATAAATCCGCTTCTGACTTCGTGAATACTAATTATACGTTTAACTTCTTTGGACATGCAGTTGTAACAAATACATATTTATATGTGGACATCTTTTAAGGCAGAATAACTTATTTCAAATTGGACCGACGCAACGAGGTGAATTTTTTGGAGATGCTGGAAGGACTAGCTTGCTAGACAATGCTCGAAAATGCGACCTTTTAAATCTTTTTCTCCATAAATATTTTTGCACATTGTCTAGTAAACCAGTCCTTTCAAGGTCTCGAAAAATTCAAATCTGTTTCCACGTTTGATTCTACTTTCGAAAAGTTATTCAATTTTAAAAGCAGTGCACATGTATTTATCCACGACTTTCGTGACAAAAATCGCAGAAAATCTTAAACAAACACAGTTACTTTTTATCGAGCGATATAAAACAGTGTCAGAAACGTTCTGTTTTCTCGAAGTTTACTTCCTTATATATTCTAAAACATGGAATAGAGTGTAAGGTGATGCATCGGTAAGAACCAGGCCATCTAACGATATAAAACTTGTCCGGAACAAACGGCGCATCGGATAAAATCGCGTTCGGGTGACCGAACGTAAATATAATTTCTGGACGAACGTGCGACGTAGGACCCAAGTGGATTTCGATTATCCGAGGCAAGCAGGCCACGTCAAACGACCGTTTGACGTTAAATCATAGAGATCTCGGTCAGCTAGCAGGCTCCGGCTGCAGCCAGCGGGCGTCGCGTCGCAGCCGACAGCAAAGAAACAAAAGCGATCGATTCCGTCGAGTGTCCAACTTCTAACGGCAAAGCGTTCGACGGTGTCGATGGTTTCCGTTGCGCAACGTGGACGTCAGAGGATCGTGTGCACGGCTGCCGATTGTTGCTGCACCGGCTCGTTCTTCGACCGCAACCCCTGCGCGTCGTTGCCCGAACGCGACGGATCTGCCGGCGGTGCCGTTCAATCGGTATCGGATTATTGAAATGGCCGAAACGACAGCCTTAAACGGAACCGCGACAGCCGCACATGCAATTTTGCGGGTTCGTGACGTTCCGTCGCGTCGCGTCGCGTCGGAGGGAGCCGGCTCAAGGCACGATTCCGGGGGGCAAACAGATGGCATTGGATCGAGCCGGCTCGCTAATTAAACAGCTCGTTACCGTTCCCCGTTATTAGTATCCATTAATCGAACCGCGATCACGCCGGCCAGAAACACTGTCACCCAGCGTATAAATATTAGAACAGCGGGTCCGGTTAGTTGTCATCGCTAATGATGGGTGAGATTTACGCGATACCTTCGGCAAATTGGTCCATTAATCGAAAACGGAAAGCTATCTGCTGTGAAGGCAAACGTACAAACGATTCCGGTTAGAAACCCGCGGGTTAGGAACCCGCCTCACGTTCGACAAACATCGACGGTACTTAACGTTGTCGAAGAGCACGGCTGACTTATTGGTTGCGAGTGTCCCGGCGCACCGAAACGATCCTGTACGCCAACCGATGCATCATACAAGGCTGGATACACCGTCGTATTTGGACATACATAGTTCGCATGAAATTGGAAATACATCCCGTGCGCCGCTCGAATAATGGCTTATCACGTGGTACCGGCACGTACGGATTGCATTACAAAACGAAAATGGTAGGCGCGTAATTATCCTAATTAGATGGGAATCGATGTTTCAGGTACAAAGACGTTTTCCACAGCACTGTTTCGTATCTTCCTTGCTGGAAGTTACTGCAAATTCTTCGACTGTTCATTGTGTACAATTGACAATTTTTCAAAAATCGTAGTACACAACGGTAATGTAGTCATTCATTTGCGACGATTTTGCGTTTCTCGCCGAGAAAATCGAACTAATTTTGTCTACATCGTTAATTGAAACTGTGATTCATTGTTTTCATCTTTTCTGTAACAATATTTTTGCTAATATTTTTATATACAATTACTGTTTTATAATATATTATTATTTTTATATATTATTGTTTATATAGCGAACGTACTGAAAACGATGTAGAGCTAATTATTAGGTCTACCGGACCTAAGTTCTGTCCGTTTAAGAAATGAAAAGGAATAATAGATTTTTCATAAATTTAGTAATATTTATTGTACAATATAATTTCCGTCGTTACTTACGACCTCTTGCCAGCGTGATGGCAATTTGTGAGCAACATTTTTCAAAAATATATGTCTCACATGAATATGTGCATATCTATTGAAATTTGCAATGACATTATCAGACAGAACTTTCCGGTAGACCTAATATTAGGTTTAAACGATAAGTGAAATGTTGTACAAATTATTGGTTAGTCACTCAGGTGTATCACATATTAATAATTAATTAATTATTAAATTAATTATTTTGATTACCATTAGCAAAATTGTACTGAACAACGTTGCTTAATCCATCGGCTGGTACATCGACAATTTTTCAAAAATCGTACTATACAGTAGTACAATTTAGAACAAATATAGTAATAGCAATGTACGCTACTTGCACGTGCAATCAATGTAAACTTGTATTCACAAAAAAATCGAAATACTGTAATTCTTTGATCTTTTGCATGTTAAATCGGACTTTTTTTATATCACCGAAACGGCTGAGCTTCACGAACTGTTGCGGAGGAGTTAGAGAAACAATTTGCAAGTTCCATACTTTATTCAGAGGCAGATTTAGGTTATAGGCTAAATAGGCTGTAGCCTGGGGCGGCAGTTTTTAGGGGGCGGTGGATTTTGAGGAAGATTCCGTTTTAGGTTTTTCTGTACATAGTAAAAAGTCATACGACCTCAAGTCGTATTACAAATGATTATTACGAATTGAACAGAAGATATAGTAAATTCTCCCTAATTGGCGCTCAGACTATACACAAAATGGATAATTTGGGAAGGGAAGATACGATTATTCGAGCCTTGCGGCTCGTTTTTGTAGTTGCCGATTGTCAATATCTATAAAAATGAGGCGCAAGGATCGAATTATCGTATCTCCTCTTCCGTAATTGTCCAGATTTTTTTACAAATTGGAGGATAATTGGAGAGAATTTACTATATCTCGTTTTTAATCTATAGCTTGTATATCTATTGGAGCAACTGGAATATGCACTTTTGTAATCACGGCGGGGTATAGTGCTAACAGAGTACATTTTAATGGTACAAAAGAGTTGCTATAATGTGGGGCTTTTAATATAGATCAGTTTGAAAACTAAGGTATAGCATTCATTTTAGATCACCTGTAATCGTATGCGTTGATTACATAAACTAAAGTGATTGAAAGACATGAGCGCAGTTTAGAAATATCAGGGCCTTTTTTAACTAAAGGAGAACAGCAAATATAACATTTACCAATTGGTTCTTTTTATCTAATGTACAATCCCGTCAGAAAGTCTTCGGCCACTTACTTATTTTGAGGAAAATGATCATTACAACACAGATGCAATTTTTTGGATTAATTTTATTGCTGAAGTTTTACGTACATATATATATGTATGTACATTTTACAGTGATATCTGCGTTTAAAATTATTATTATTTTGTATGTAGAATCCAAAAAGTGCATAGCAATGCATAAGTAATCTTACGCATTCATCGACATATTCTCCTCGTGCGGATATGACAGCTTGAATCGCGGCATTCGTTCCATTAATTTTGTTACGTTTGCGATGTAATTTTTTTTCAAGTTTGAAACTATTTCTCGAATAATAATGAATTCGCAAAGCAAAAATGAAGGCGGGCTACATATATAGAACTTTATTTTCTTCCCTTCGAGATAATGTAAAGTATGTAAGATCTTTCTTCAAATGTTTTTTTCTTCGGATTTTACATGTAAAACAATCATTTTTCTGATAAATAATTCTACAGATAAGTATATGCAACAAAATTAATCCAGACAACTGCATATGTATAATCTAATAATGATCTTCGTCGAAGCAAGTAAATGTTTAGTAACTCATTGGCGGAGGTGTATGTATTTGGAGAATTTATTCTTCCCACGTCACGAAGAAATCATCGGGAATTTCACTCACCGGACATGATGTTGTCACGAATGATCTGCACATGACGGTCTCGATCGGGTCTCGTATGTTCGTGCCAAAAGCCGACGACGTGTCCCAATTCGTGAACAACAATTCCGAATTTGTCGCAATTTTTTCCGATACTTATAGCTTGCGGCCCGTTTCCTCTTTTCCCGACGAACGAGCAGCACCTGCAACGTAAACGTGCAAATCGAACCAAATGAAGCAAGCTCGAGAACCACGATAAATTCCTTAAAAAAAAATTGTTATCTCAGCGATTCGTTACAATCAAATTTTCTGCGATGCAGTTTCAGCAAATCAGTGTACGCAAGTCCACTTTTCTTTGAAAATGCAGTGCAAGCATCTCTATCATAGGATCTTTCGATCGATAAATCAATATCGTCGATTTCTTCGTATGCAAAGCAAAGCAAAACTTGTACCCGATGAAACATAAAATCTCGAAGGTGTGATTTGTCGCGGCAGCCTTGCGCGACACCGTTAAACAAAGGGTCCGTTCGATTGATAGACCATCACCGGCGAGTGCTAGCGGCCATTAGTTAGCTCCCCTCGCGTTCGGGGCCAAATTTACAGCGACGCGTTGGCAAACTCACCCGCACGGCCTCTCCGTGAACAGTATATAATTAGGATGTTCCGCGGGGACCCTCTCGACGAATTTCACGCAAGTGAAATTCTCCCAGTGTCTCATCGCCTGCTTGAACAGCGCTTTATGGGCCCCGGAGAAGTTGCCGTCGATCTCGTACGGGATCACGCCGTGGTCCCATACGCGCTCCTTCCGGGCCGTCGCGGCTCTTCTCGACCTGCTCGAGAAACCGTGTCTCGTTGTGCCGCGTTTGTTCGCCAGGTACTTCGCCTTGTGTTCCACCTCGTAGAACTCGATTGATCGGAGCCGTCTGTCGTGTAACGACACCACTTCGTCTGAACTGTCGCCGAAGTCCGGCCTGACTTCTGGAAGCTTGCGGCGAGGATGCCTCCTCCTCAATGATCTGGAGACAAACGAGGAGTCGGAGTTACAGATCGTTCGACATATTGCATTCTTCCTTTCGACAAGTATTACCACGTCGTGGACGAGGAAATTCAGAACGGAAAATTCACTAATCCGCGCTTCTTTACGCGACAAATTAATTTGCGTTCTCTGAACGAGATTTCTTTCTTCGTTTTTATTTTAACGCAGATTCAATTTCCAATAGCGATGATTTTGCGTCGTGATTTAAGGTTGTGTCTACATTATATGATGCAAAGGTTTCTTATATTGAGAGATTACATTCTTTTACGAAGAAATATGTGACATTACGAACAATTGCTGTAGGTTTTTTTTAAGGAGGACATTAATCTGGATACTGGAAGGGAAACAGAGTTGGACATATTTTATTCGACTAAAATTTTATTCGAACAACGAACAACGAATCAAATTTTATTTGTAAAATTTATCCGAAATATCGTTCGAAGAATTTATTCGATGCATCATTTGAAGAATTTATTCGATACATCGTTTGAAATATTTATTCGAAGGATATATTCGAAATATTGTTTCAATGTAACTTTATTCGAAGAAAAATTATTCGTTATTGGGAAAAATTGTATTTTACATAGATATTATATATAAATATATGTATACATATAAACGTAAATGATTGAACATAATAAATATTCCAGTACATTTTTTCTTCATTGTATACCATCAAAATTGCATATTAATCAATTATAAGGTTAGATTGTAAATCCCAAAACTGTAAATCCAAAAATCTTGCTTAGCATTAAGTATTGAACAGTGATAAATAACGATAGTGCTATTAGTAAATTTATATGAAATATCTGAAAAAAATATGTTTTGAAAAATCAACGATTAAAGCAGAAAGTGGTCATGAAAATCGTCAAAATCGTTATGAAAATGGTCCACCGTTCGAGAGTTAATCACCGTAATTCGTTAATTTTTTAAAGAATTTCTTTCAAATAGATTAAACGTACATTATTAAATAACAATTATTCCGAACATTAAAAGATCATCTTCGACGAATTTCTTTCAAATAAATTAAAACGAAATACTTCGTCTAACAAATTTATCTTTACATAATTAATTTTTCGATTTTTAAAAAATCGAAATTAAATTTCAAACAACGTACTAGCGTAACACAGGCGCACACTGCGAGGCATTTTATGCCACCGAGCTACCGATTCTACCGAGCCAAGAAAGTTTCAATGTTCCAAGCATCGAGCCAGACAAAAAGTCGCTAAGCCACTTGTAAAAAGATTGTCCGGTTAAATTAATGTTCGACCGCCGCGCCGGACAATCGTCTACCCCCGTTCTATCGTAATTTCATAAGCGAGTTACGGCGTTCGGTTCTTCTAATATTCTCATCGAAACATCGTTACGAACAGGGACAAAAAAGGAGTTCCAAGCTATTCCCCCTCGTTCCTCTTTCTGTTCTCTCTTTACGATCTGTAACGTTATTTACGCGACGCGGAAGGGGTTGAACCGTTCCTCTTTCTCTCCTCCCCTTCACCGCCGGTCCCCTCCCCCCGTACCTTTTTTTTCTCGCAAAGCGAAAAAAAGAAGAGACGGCTGGCCCCGTTTGAAAAAGAAAATCCTCCCCCGGAAAATTTACTCGCCACCGGCATCGAAGCGTTCAACGCGAGCTCGTTAAAAGACTGGGAGGACTTGTAAAACCGGAAAATTTACGGGGTCGAAGGTAACCATCAAATGTTTAATGTTGTCCGGGACATAACGCCGCGTGTCCGGGCTCACTCGTTAAGGGATACAGCTTTCTCTCTTATTAACATGCTATTAGCGTGATATTGAATATTACTATCGAAGTTCCCGGTTCGCCAGTACTCCCTTGCCCATTATTGTCGTGTAAATAGCAATTTCGACGGTGCGTCCCGGCCCGGTATCCGATCGTAAAATGATCAGACGTTTCAACGGATAATCAACATTGGTCATTGTTGTTGACTAAGTAAATAGCGGCCGGATAACCATCGGTACAGTTGACCGAACCGGCCACCGAGCTCCGAACGCGAATTCCGACAAAATAGTTTATCGCGGACGATAGAATTGATACGCGGGCGCAAAAGTATCCACCGGGCTAATTCGAGCGAACTGGCAACGGAACTATGAGAAAGTTTACCCTCTGCACTCGTGTCGTGACTTTGGGGAATCATTCAAAATCATTATATCACGTTCCAACATAATTTTTATGTCATCGAATTTGTTTGCGTTCAAAAAAGATTTAAAAGTGACTGATAAAGTACAGTGAGTCATAAAGTACAAAATGAAAATGTAAAATGGAAACTGTCTACATTAATTGAGCCGTTTATTTTGAAAGTGGCCTAAGTCCATTTATCTGAAAATCCAGATATTTAAGGTTTTTACGTTTTAATAAATTTAAAAATATTGCTAATTGATAACGTGGTGGTATAATGTTTTTGTGTTCCTAAGGGTCACTGCGTTCTCTTTCAGTTTTGCTGACATGAAATTATATGTATAACGTAGAAATGTGAATATTAAAATAGCTAGCTCGGTGTTTTTGAAAAATGACTTAGGCCACTTTCAAAATAAACGGCTCAATTGCAAGAAGTAAATATTGTACAGACATCTATTTCATCTATTAACATTACCAATATATGAGTTATTTATTCAATTTATATGTTATTTACGGCAAACGTTACAATAACACTTGTTAAAAATCAGAATAAATGTCTTATTGTTACTTTTATAAACTAATATAAAACAGCTGTTTTTTGTGCTCCGTAAATCTAGAGTTAATAGTGTTCTTCAATTCTTCTTACGTTTTGACTATTGTATATTAACGTATGTATCGTATATTAATGTATAGTAATTTTGTCGTAAATGCATAAAAATCCACAATTCAGTCGTAGTAGACTCAATTTCATATGGATGAAATNAATCCAGATATTTAAGGTTTTTACGTTTTAATAAATTTAAAAATATTGCTAATTGATAACGTGGTGGTATAATGTTTTTGTGTTCCTAAGGGTCACTGCGTTCTCTTTCAGTTTTGCTGACATGAAATTATATGTATAACGTAGAAATGTGAATATTAAAATAGCTAGCTCGGTGTTTTTGAAAAATGACTTAGGCCACTTTCAAAATAAACGGCTCAATTGCAAGAAGTAAATATTGTACAGACATCTATTTCATCTATTAACATTACCAATATATGAGTTATTTATTCAATTTATATGTTATTTACGGCAAACGTTACAATAACACTTGTTAAAAATCAGAATAAATGTCTTATTGTTACTTTTATAAACTAATATAAAACAGCTGTTTTTTGTGCTCCGTAAATCTAGAGTTAATAGTGTTCTTCAATTCTTCTTACGTTTTGACTATTGTATATTAACGTATGTATCGTATATTAATGTATAGTAATTTTGTCGTAAATGCATAAAAATCCACAATTCAGTCGTAGTAGACTCAATTTCATATGGATGAAATATACTAATCGTATATTGTATAAAATGCAAATATTGTAGGTGAGAAACGCTATTTTGGATTTCAAGTTAAAATGGTTTCGAGTGCAAAGGTTTATTTTGTACGACTTTTTTATCAATTGTTTTGCAATAGATTATTTCTGCTACTCATTTTGGACACGTTAGTTTTTTACACACCGTAATGAAGCGTGCGAACAATTTTTATTTAGTTGTTAGAGGCTAGAGAGTCGAATATGTTCGAGTATCAATGTAGCAGTAACTAAAGAAATATTGTACGCAGGATTTTATTGTGACTATCGGAAGGTTTTATTTTTAGACAGTAAGGAAGTTTGCAAGATGATTCTGAATATCTTTTGATGAAATAAAATGAAACTGTAGGGATATTTTAAAAAGCTTATTAAAAGTCGATAAAATTCGTTTTGAAATTGAGAACGAAGAATGTGCGAGGTAGAATGTCATTTGACGCACGCGTCTGTTTTCGACAGGCTGATTCTACTTACAGTCATATTCATGACCGAGTAATTCATTTCTACACGATGCTAAGTAGAAACGTTTGCATTAACAAATACTAATTAAGTTAATTAATAGATACTCATATTCGATTGCACTAGAATTTCTCGAGATTTTTAAATAAACATTTTTAAACGTCTTTGAATAAATATACAGGATGTTCCAAAATTATGATACTTCCGGGAAATGAGGGGTTCCTGAGTTTATTTGAAGTAACTTTTTTCTTAGCGAAAATGATTAATTAATTAAAATTATTCGGTCTTAGCGCGCCAGCTGATCTCACATCTCATTGATCACTGTTTTTCATTAATAGCTTGTAAACAAAACAGCAGAGTGAATTTGCGCTAAGAAAAAAATTACAACAAATGACCTCAGGAATCCCTCATTTCCCAGAATTAGAAGTACCATAATTTTGGGACACCCTGTATATTTCATACATCGTACTAATTCATTGATTTTTCTATTTATTGATTTTCTATTTATTGTTTTCTGTTTATTGATTCCGTTGACAAACTCGGCATTATATTTCCTTTCATATTTATCCGACTCTAAATTAACTTGTTTATTGAAGCATGCAAATATTTCTGCCGTATATATTGTTTGTTCACATCGTTCGCGTGTTTGAGATATAAAACCGGATTAATAATACAAAACAAATTAGAAGCATTCAGTGAGATGTGATTTTTATTCCAGCAATGTTTAAACCTGGATGAACAGAATATTTTTCCGCTTAATGAACAAATTACAAATCGAATGTAACGAAGAAGCAAACAAATTTTTGCAAAAATTGCAATTGTTTGGAATGACAAAAGAAATTAAAAAATTGTGTTGTTTTAGATTTCTCATGGTTATCGACCGAAAGTCGTACAGTGTTCTGTTAAGTTTTTTTTTTAAATTACTACTAAAAATGTAAAAGCTACTTTGAGCCTGTAATTACGCACAGCACCGTATTCGTTCGCATTATCAAAAACAATTCAAATATTCACAACGATCAAGTAATTCTGTTCGACCTGTACGAACA